ATATCATGCATAATTGTCTGCCATGCATTCACGCTTATAACACCTGATTCATATATACCTTTAAGCGGTGTTTTTCTTAGAAAAAGTGCTGATACGCAACACAAAGTATCTATTACAGAAGTGCTGAAAAGGTGATGCCTGAAAATCCGTGGTGTAATGGCCAGACACTCGCCTTCGTATCCTAAGCTTGTGGGTTCAGATTCTCACCAAAAACCATGCTATTTACAAAAATGACCTTGGTTCCTAAATAAATGGATACCAGGTAAAATCATGGGAAGTAAAGGCAGCCAGCGTGATGTTGACCATATCATCCATCAAGTTGCGAGTGGTCTGTGCCGAGGGGCCTACTACGCCTGAAGGTGGGGAAAAAGAGTCATGTTCTGTACTGACTTTCTATAAACTGACAATAGGTTTAGGTGTGGTTACTATGTTTGGAGGAGTCGCCGTGGCCGAGCGGCTAGACGCTCGCCGCGGATCGGAAGGTCGTGGGTTCGCTCCCTGGCGGAGACGGACTCTTCTTCAAAAATGACCTTGGCTTTCAGGTCGACCCAGCCTTGAGTGGGTACCGGGTGCAATCCCGGGAAGTAGAGGCGGCCGGCGTGATGCTGACCACATCAACCATCTTGTGCCGTTGGTCTATAAAAAATATAGGTCTAGCCCTATATGCCCTTTACGCCTAAAGGCGTGGAAAGGGTCCTTTACTTTTACTTTGACTTTTTTACTATGTTTGAGAAATTAAGGGTAGATTAGTTTGGACTTGATTGCTATATCTGAGAAATCAATATTTTTTTTTCGCCGGGCCCAGTCTCTCCTCACGGGGAAACCACCCGGCGTTGAGTTTGAATGGCTCATACCGTGATGATTACTCCCATGAGTTCGGGACCGATCCCGGCGCTTCTGGCCAGACCAAGTGCAGCAGAGCTACACTGTGATCTTAGCCAAAAGGCAGAGTAATCAATAGTCGATTATTTGTTATTTGATTTGTATATCTGGGAAATGAGAGGTCCATTAGTTTGGATTTGATTATTTATATGAGGAATGAATGGTCGATTAGTTTGGATTTCATTATCTGAGAAATAAATATTCAGTATGTTTTATACATGATATAAAGTGGCAGGCAGACCTGTCTGAGGTAATATAATAAATTGGTAAAGTAAATTAGCAAAGTGCTGCCAAAACGCGTACACTGAGTACTCCGGGTGGTGTCGTTCCAATGAGTTGTGATTGACAATAATACTGCACATTAACTTGCCAAGTAAGCGAAAGCAAGGGGGCGGGAGACACACACACACACACACACACACACACACACACACAGAGAGAGAGAGAGAGAGAGTGTGTGTGTGTGTGTGTATACAGGAAGACAATAATATATTTGTAGAAACAAAAAGAGGCCATCCAGTCTTCCAGAAGGGACTGACCAGAATCAGACAAATAAAAACTGGCCCCTTACTTGACCAGCATAAAACCAAGCTTTATGGAACTGTAGAAGGTGTGAGTCGCACCATAGATTTCATTTAGGCCTCTCTTCTGGACACACACAAAACTACTGGAGGGGTAACGAAAAGAAAGGGGAAAAAAAGAATAGACTTACAGTAGTCTAAACAGTAGTCTCAGCTCCTAACTAACTAGTGCTAACTTATGGATGCCAGAGTTGAAATGCAACAGTAGACCTAGATTTTTTTTTTAATAGACAATTTTCAGCCTAAATGTCTTAGCAAAATACAAAATCTCCAATGGACAGATTTCAGATACAATACGCAAATGAAACACGAGACCAAACCAGATAAAGCATCCACTTTTATCAGAAAACGCCGTTGGAACTACATCGGCCATGCACTCAGAATGGATAAGACCAAACTCCCCCATCAAGCTCTCATATGGACATCGGAAGAGAAAAGAAAACGAGGAATACCAAGAGAGACCCGGCGTAGAACTATCATTAGGGAAGGCTCAACCATGGGTCTAATAGACATCCAAGACCTAAAACAGGTGGCAACGAACCACCAGTCATGGAGAGCTACGACCTAGGCTCAAGAGAGAAGACTAAGTATAAAGTTATGGATTTACAATTCAGCCATCCTCCATTGTGGATACATTACCTTAATTGACTGAGTTTAGGCCACGTAAAACGTCTTGTCTGCTAAGCTCGTTATTCATGCGAAACTATGGAGCGGTACAGGCTGTCAGAGTTAGGTCCGAGAATTCTTTAAGCATTGGTACAACAGAGTACTTTAAGATTTCTGAACGTTTTAGCTTCTTGAACTCCCCAAAAAGTCCATTCCTGTTTCATTAGATCTCTTTCCCACTCTGCCAACGAAAAGTAGTGTTTTGATGTGGCAGTTGGATTTCTGAACCAGCAACAATACATCCCAGCCTGCCACAAGGATCACCATTATCTCCTGCACTGTTCAAAGTTTACACAGGCGAACAAATCACAGGACCCGTAAGAACACTCATATGCTGACAATTTGTTAGTGTATCCTCAGGGCAAGGGTAGAGAGAAGGTTGCTGAAGAACTACAAAAAGAGCTCAACCGCACTTGGTATACTTTCCGTTCTTTTTAGGATGCAATTTTTCGTTATTTGAAGGCCTACTGTGGCTCTTGCCATGGGCCGCAAATATAGCCTGGTCATAAATATGGCCTAAAGGCTGAACGCGATTTCTGGGACCTCTCCACGGGTGATTCTCACCCACATAAATGCACATTGTGTCATCGGGTGTTTATCCCTTGTGTGATGTCCTGGTATGGTAAAAAGCCAGTCAGTCAGTCATAAGCACTTGGTGGGGTGAAGGCGGTACACTGGTCAACCCAACGAAGGCAGCAGTGATATGGTTCTCTTTGAATAACACTACTGTGAAAACTCCAACACCAGCTTCTTGTGTTAGATGATTTAAATATTTCACTTTATCAGCCGTTATACGCCTCCTAACTTCCTTATTGGCTTCTGTGTATTTATCCTGAGCTCTAGCTTTAGCAGCTCTAGTTTGCTATTGTTCAAGTCTGCCATTTTACTTTTTCTTTCTTTAATCAATTTGATGGTTTCTGGTGTTATCCATGCTTTATGTTTCCGTTCTTTCTTGCCAAGAACTTCTACACAATTTCCATTCCAGATTCCCTTTGTTCTGATTCCAGCAGACTTCAGTGCTGTCATCTTCAGCTTACTGCTGCAACACATGGCACTTATTAGAGACTGTTACGAAAAAAATTTCCTGAACTTCTTTATCCCTGAGATAACCTACATTATACTGGTTTCCACCTTGGCTCCCAGGTCGACCAGCCTTGAGGCGGCCGGCGTGATGCTGACCACATCACCCATCTTGTGCCGATTGGTCTATAAAAATATAGGTCTAGCCCTATATGCCCTATACGCATAAAGGCATGGAAAAGGGTCCTTTACTTACTTTACTTAAACTTGTTTGTATGATTATAAGATGTTATATATCTTTGAAGTTTCAACTTGATTTTTAGTTACCACTAGAAAATGGTCAGTAAATACATCGGCACCTCCTAAAGCCTTAACATCGTAAACGGATGGTATAAAGTTTGTGTTAATACATAGGTGCTCAGTTTGATTGGTTGTCTTATGGTCTGGTGATTCCCACGCTACCTTGTGTATTATTTTATGGGGGAAAATACTTCGACCAAAAACATACTGGTTTCCTGCACAAACATGTGTGAATAATTCTCCATTTTCATTATTACTCCTAGACCATGTCTTCCCATTATGGGAAGATTGAGCACATAGATCAGATTATAATGAAAGCCAAGCGGGGTCTGGTTGCGATGAGAGTGATGGCGGCGGCAAACTGAGCAGCGTCCTCTATGTCTTCTATACCAGTGTCTGGTCCTTTCTGTTTTTAAACACGCGATGGCGATCTTGACTCTTAGCCATAAGAAGATGGAAAGCATGGAACGGATACAGAACGAGGCCATGCATATTATATGTGGGTGTACAAGAGATACAGCATGCAGGGCGATGCACTACCTTCTTGATTTTCCAAGCATGAAAGACAGAAGACAAATTTCCTGAGGACGTGCCTACCTCAAGTCATCGCAGACACACGACATCCATAGCATACAGTTAAATTTAGAAGAGAAAAAGCAGCATATTAAAAAGAGGGAAATCGTGGATGGTTCAAGCCGAAAGACATTATTGTACAGATATGTTCACTAGAAGACATAGAACCCGGCGGGAAGTGGGTGCAAGTGCCTTCAGAGTGCTGTACATCCTTTTCTATTTGCATCCAACTAGACAGAAAATGCAGAGTCCGGATGCTGTAAAGAAGTTCAAGCCTTAATTTTCGAGAATGCTCTAGACGGTGATGCTGTCATTTACACATAATGGTCTGTGATCCGCTATGTTAGAAGCTTGTTGGCTTTCACGGCTCAGTTTGGAGGGAGAGTTGTGAGGGAGGATTCTGGAGCGTTTGGCTTAACTACGAGTAGTCTGACTATAAAGGTCATGGCTGTGACTAAAGCAGTAACATGGCTAGACAAACAGAATTCCACTGGGGCATGCTTTCTCAGTGACTCGACCAGTATGCTCAGGAATATAGAGAAGGGATGGGTCCGAAAGCAGTGGTTAGTGGCGCTACAGCATTCTCGGCTGACAGGGATTAGTTTCACTTTCGTGCCAGGATATGTAGGCGTACAAGGAAATTAGCAAGCTGATAGACTAGCTGTTAAGGCTACTATGAAACCTGGACATGCCAGGGACCAGGCTGATATACTGAATGCTCTACAAGATTTAAGACGCTTGCGTGAACCAGTTAAAAACTGAATCTGCAACCATGGTTAGACAACAAGAACAGCAAATTAAGTGTGGTGTCGCCAAACAAGAACACTACGCGGGTAGCCAAAGAATAATAATAAACCAACACAGAACTGGTGTCGTCAGCGGCTACACGCTGCGGGATTTACTGAGGAGGGGATCTAAGCACTTATGGACTGAGTGGTTCGACGTGCAAAAAGGATAATCTGTCGACTAACTGATTAACTAACTAGAGCGATTGTTGTTCGTTGCACTTGAGTCACTCTGTTGTATTGTAGAGCTGGTTGTATTGTAGGCGATCACGTCTTGCAAGTCCATGTCCGGCTGGAACCCTTCGTTTGACATAGCGTATCTTCCGATGCGGTGACTTTTATTGGCTGGACCCCACTCGGGGTGGGGTTTGATGGCTTGTTTAAGTCCCTGGAAAATGTATCAAATAAATGCATTTGTAATAAAATAATGAATAAATCAATCACGAACTGTCATTACTGCACTCGGGACATTCTCAGGTGTGCCCTGTCCCCTTCTTCAGAAGCCAACGAAGATTCGACATGCTAATACTACTAGTTGAAACCTGATTAAAGCTCTGTCTATGTTTACCATTCAGTAATAAATATTGTCCAAAACCTTTACCCCCCCCCCCCACCCCTCCCAATTCCCCCACCCCTCGTTGAATTATTTTTTCAGTGTATGGATTCTTGATACCAGTTGCCGCCACGCTGGATAAATATAAGGAACACAGAGCAACTGGAAGACCACGCAAGAGATGGAGCGACACCATCAGGAGCAACCTAATAGAAATGAACACCAACTTGTACAATGCATTGGGAAAAGCGCACAAACGATCCTTACATCTGCCCCCAACACCTCGCTGAGGTAAATGGTGGAAGAGAAGAAGAATTAGTTTATGGATTGTCTGTTTGTTCTACTGTACGGCCCATTTGGTCCCAGAGAGCCATCACCACTTCCGTTTGATCAAAAAGTAGCTCAGCGCCAAGAGGTGCGAAAGCTGCAAAACTATTAGCCTGTTCGTCTAAAAACATTTCAATGACAAATGAATTACTAACACTGTGAACTTTTGGATCAGCACCTACAATCAAATTCACCGAAAACCAAAGACTGAAATGGTTTGGCCAGTAATGAGAATGAATCCAATGATGGTAGCATCGAGAGCCTACTATATGAAAGTAGAAACGCCAAGATGTAGAGGACGACCAAGAAGAATGTGGATTGAAGGAGTCACTAACACTGGTAAACCCCACGATATACCAGCATTCCGGACACCGACCGTGCCTTGTCTCGGATACCCATCATCTGTTGACCTGCGACCCCGAGCAGCGCAGAGCTCAATATGGGCATAAGAACAATAGACAGAATGACAATGAACTGCAAACAAAATGAAAGCCTAATAACAAGATGGTAACTTAGATATAACAATAACAAGATGATAATCCGAATGGGAGTTGTTTGCCTAAACATACCTGGAGACATACTAAGGAGAATGGTCTTGTCCGAAGTGCGATGAAAATGATCTTTAAATAAGCAATGTGTTGTCTGAGAAAGACACTCGGTGACCAGAAGAGATAAAATCAGGACTGATCGGAGATACCGTCGACACAGAATTAATACCAAATTGTATACGAAGATAGCAAATCAAATGGTTTGCCCAGTTAGAGAGAATGCCTTCTGATGCTTTACCATGCAATGCATGTTTTCGCGGTGATAAGTATGCTCAGGGAGATAGAAAAGGGCAGGGTCTGAAAGCAGTGGTTGCTGGCTCTACAGCGTTCATGGCTGACAAGGATTAGTTTCATTTTCGTGCTATGTGGGGGTACAAGAAAATGAGCCAGCTGATAGACTTGCAGGTAAGGCTACTGTGAAAGCCGGACAAGCCATGGACCAGGCTGATATACTGAATGCTCTACGACATTTAAGATGCTTGCTTTAATCAATTGAGAACTGAATCTGCAACCATGGTCAGACTGCAAGAACAGCGAGTTAAATAGGGTGTCGCCAAACAAGAACACTACGCGGGTAGCCAAAGAAAAAGAAAAAAACCAACACAGAACTGAGGAATCAAACTGAGGAACCAAAAGAGGAGTGGGACGTAGAGCAAGAGGTTGACCAAGAACAAGATAGGAAGATAACATTTAAAAAACTGTACAGAACTACGAAGTGTCTCTGGTCGAAACAGCCAGAAGAGCACAAAGCATGACTTTATACCTCCCTCGACGCCCGAAATGGTAAAAGAGAACGTAAAGAAGAAGAACAATGAAAAATAAACAATAAAGTTGATAACAATTAATAGTTATGAGTCTTTGTGTTTTGTTTGATTTATCTCATTACCGTCTAATTTTTTCCCTATCCCTGCCCGCCCTATCTCCCCCCTTCATACTCCCCCCCCCCCCCCACACCCCAAACCCATGACCTTCAGTAACGTTAGGTCCCTTTACATACCAGTGGTGCATCGGCCATATAAGACTACTCTCATTTTAACAAGCCGCTTTACGTTTGAGCTGGTGAAATACCTTATATAGTAATTATATGTGTGTATGGTCAACTTGTCGTGCCCGACTACTTCCTTCAACGATGGACTGTATTTCTGGTGGAGACTGTTAGCTTTTGGGGCCTCTGGCAACTGAAATGTGCATTTGCTGCTTGAGCATATTTCTGGATTGTTCCGTGGCCAATTATTTGTTCCCCCCTAGGTTTTCAAACGCCACAGTGAGGGACATTTCATTTGATTTTCACTGGCACAGGAACGGAGCAAGTATGGGGAAACCCGACTGAAGTGATGTTGAAACCTCGACCAAGACTTAGACTCTCATTTGTAAAGACTAATCCGGCCCGCAGAGGGTGATGTTGTAGACATTCGACGACAATAGTGTTAGAACCTCGACTAACGACTAATGTAGTCACACACACACACACACACACACATGGCATTAATGTCAGAACCTCGACTAACGACTAATGTAGTCACACACACACACACACATGGCATTGATGTTAGAACCTCGACTAACGACTAATGTAGTCACACACACACACACACATGGCATTGATGTTAGAACACCGACTAACGACTAATGTAGTCACACACACACACACACACATGGCATTGATGTTGCAACCTCGACTAATGACTAATGTAGTCACACACACACACACACACATACATGGCTTGATGTTAGAACCTCGACTAACAACTAATGTAGTCACACACACACACACACACACACACACACACACACACACATGGCATTGATGTTAGAACCTCGACTAAGGACTAATGTAGTCACACCCACACACACACACACACACACACACACACACACACACACACATGGCATTGATGTTAGAACCTCGACTAAGGACTAATGTAGTCACACCCACACACACACACACACACACACACATGGCATTGATGTTAGAACCTCGACTAACGACTAATTTAGTCACACACACACACACACATAGCAATGATGTTAGAACCTCGACTAACGACTAATGTAGTCACACAATACACACACACACACACACACATGGCAATGATGTTAGAACCCCGACTAACGACTAATGTAGTCACACACACACACACACACATGGTAATGATATTTGAACCTCGACTAACGACTAATGTAGTCACACACACACACACACACACACACACACACACACACACACACACACACACATGGTAATGATATTAGAACCTCGACTAACGACTAATGCAGTCTCTCACACACACACACACACACACAGACACACACATGGCAATGATGTTAGAACCTCCACTAACGACTAATGTAGTCACACACACACACACACACACACACATGGCAATGATGTTAGAACTTTGACTAACGACTAATGTAGTCACACACACACACACACACACATAGCAATGATGTTAGAACCTCGACTAACGACTAATGTAGTCACACAATACACACACACACATGGCAATGATGTTAGAACCTCGACTAACGACTAATGTAGTCACACACACACACACACACACATATGGTAATGATATTAGAACCTCGACTATCGACTAGTGCAGTCTCACACACACACACACACACACACACACACACACACACATGGCAATGATCTTAGAACCTCGACTAAAGTCTAATGTAGTCACACACACACGGCAATGATGTTAGAACCTCGACTAACGACTAATATAGTCACACACACACACATGGTAATGATATTAGAACCTCGACTAACGACTAATGTAGTCACACACACACACACACACACACACACACACACATGGCAATGATGTTAGAACCTCGACTATGACTAATTTAGTCATACACACACACACACACACACACACACATGACAATGATTTTAGAACTTCGACAAACGACTAATGTAGTCACACACACACACACACACACACACACACACACACACACACATAGCAATGATGTTAGAACCTTCACTAACGACTAATGTAGTCACACACACAAACACACACACACACACATGGCAATGCTGTTAGAACCTCGACTAACGACTAATGTAGTCACACACACACACACACATGGCAATGATGTCAGAACCTCGACTAACGACTAATGTAGTTTACATTCACACACACACACAGACACACACATGGCAATGATGTTAGAACCTCGACTAACGACTAATGTTCTCACTCGCACACACACATGGCAATGATGTTAGAACTTCGACTAACGACTAATGTAGTCACACACACACACACATGGCAATGATGTTAGAACTTCGACTAACGACTAATGTAGTCACACACACACACATAGCAATGATGATAGAACATCGACTAACGACTAATGTAGTCACACAATACACACACACACACACACACACACACACACACACACACACACACACATGGCAATGATGTTAGAACCTCGACTAACGACTAATGTACTCACACACACACACACACACACACACACACATGCTTATCATACATGTGTACTTATATATGTACATCTAGGTGTACACACACAAATGGACATGCCCGACTTACCCCATATCTAAACATCTGTATGACAGCAACCAACAATATGGACAATATAGGCAGACCAACTGTTGCAAAGCCCAGACCTTGCGCCCAAGGTTCGAACTCATATCCTCCGTAGTCCACAGGAGTATACTGAACCCCTGACAAGATCATCATTGTCTGCAAAGAGGGAGACGCCATTTTATTTTTTCAAGCCCATATTATTGAATGAAGAAATGTACACTGAAATAGCATTATGTTGTTTAATACCTAAACTCAGAATTATCAAGTGCAAAAAGAAATACTAAACTAAAAATGTTTAATTCTAATGTCAAATCAGTACTATTGTATGGGGCAGAAACATGGAGAACAACCAAGGCAATCACTAATAAATTACAGACATTCATTAACTGGTGCCTGCGCAGAATAGAGGGAATAAAATGGTATGATAGAATAACTAATGTAGAACCTTGGGAGAGAACTAAACAGGCTCCAGTGGATCAGGAAGTGAGGAAAGGACGCTGGCGTTGGATAGGGCACACACTGAGAAAACAGGAGAACAGCATTACTAGAATGTCTTTGCACTGGAACCCACAGGGGCATAGGAATAAAGGAAGGCCAAAAAAAAAACACATGGAGAAGAGAGCTGGAGAACGAGGTTAGAAAGATTGGGAGGACATGGGGAAAGCTCCATGCAATGGCGAAGGATAGAACGACTTGGCGTGAGTTGGTTGAGGGCCTATGCTCCATTGGGGGATAGAAAGGCAGAAGAAGAAGAAGTGCAGCAAAGTCTTGCATTTGCTACAACATCTAATTTGAGAATGGAGGTGGAGGCAATCACTGCAGCCTTCCGCTAGCTTGAGAACCAGATGTACAAACACACACATACACACATCGAATTACAACTGATTTACATAGCATGTTGAGAAGGGTGGAGACAGGAATGCTCTGTGCGGAGTGGCGGGCATCGCTTTAGAGGTCCCGAGTAGTTAGCGTTCTTTGGATACTCTTTCCAGGTTTTTCTGGTATGCTGGGAAACGAACATGCAGATAGACTGACTGGCTGGTTCCGCCCCTATTTGATGGTCACCTGATGCATGACAAGCTAGATGTTGCAAGGGTTCTTTGGGAACCAGTGAAGTATGGACAATGGTGTTGCCAGCTTTGACTGGGGGATCTGGCTGACGCTCAGAACTGGTGCCTTCGGAACTGGAACTACAGCTTTGATATTAACGTACCAAGTGCTGTGATGTCGATTCTCAGTTCAAAATTCAATGCAGAAAAGTCACGAGACAAGTCGCTGGCACAGTCTCTAACATGTGAAGTTTTTGCAAATAATGTTCTTTGTTATTTCGGAATCCTGAACAATATTCTCTTCTGCCGTGTCTTTGCATCTGTTGCTTGTTTATTTTGACATCATTCTACTGCTCAGTAGAACTGAGATCACACAATTCTCTGCATGTACAACTATACACTGTTGTCATGTATTAACTCTTCTTGGCGCATTCCCCTTTAGGTTGGTTACTGTCAGGGGACGAGAAGCGGGTGGCAAGGTCAGAGCACATGTTTATTAAGGTCATTCAACTTGCACTAACCAACGTGCTCATTTTTACTTCTCATATTCGCCTCAGACTCCCTGAGCTTGATAAGTACCAAGACTTATGAGAGCTGTCGCATAGTTCATTGCTGATACACTCAAAGCACAGAAACGCTGCAATCAAGGCCATGACAACACGAACAAACTATCAGAATGCAGTCACAATCCATACAAGAACGTCTGATGTAGATACTACATGCTGAGCTCTATTACTTTTACTTTGATTATTCTATAATTTCTACATCGTTCTAAATAATGTAACATATTAACTAGCGCTATCTAACTCAGTAACTAAAACTATTATCATGAGACATGGCCACACTACAGTTGTCCAAACCGCCCGCTAGGACGTCCAGTAGACGACTGTCCCCAGCCGGTTCACAAGCCGAGCTCACTTTTCTTACTTCAGGTAATTCACGTGGCCTCTGTGGCCAGTGTGCACATAACGACAATCACACGTTTAGTGCTTTGACAGCAGTCCCACATTCCCCTATATCCTCCCCTACCCCGATCATGACAGTGACATTTGTTTCTTTAAACGATTAGCACTCTCTGCTGTAGGTATTTGACATTTGTAACCTCGTTAATTGAATATATTACACTATTCGTTGATGGCTTTTGTAGAGCCCACAATTTAAAACAGGTTGATGTTGTTTGCTACCTACCTCGACAAGTCAACACAGTCCCCTATTAGTTAGGTTGGCATTTTTTACCTCAACCATTTAGCACACTCTACTACAGTGCAGCCTAAAATGGGTACCAGGATGGGCTGTCCTGGGAAAGTAAAGACAGCCGGCGTAATGCTGACGACCACATTACCCACAGAGTGCTGATGGTCTGTAAAAATATGGGACGCTCTGCCCATATGCCCGATGCGCCGAAAGGCGTGAAGAAGGAACTTTACTTTACTTACTACAGGTTGGCTTTTGTCACCTCGCAATTTAATACATTCTACTACAGATTAGTAGCATTTTTGCCTCAATAAATTAACACTTCACCTAATAGGTTATTTACAAATTGTTCATGGACATGTCAGTATGGCAGCATTTGTGACTTGGAATTGTTAACACTTACCACTATAGCCAGAGGAGTCACCACCATCCAACAGCATCTCCAGTAGAGGTTGGGCGAGAACCCTAACATCATCTCTATGTCAGCACAAAAATTCTTGTTACCTGCAACAAGATCAACATCAGCGGTTTGTTTCAGCGATTAGTGATTAATGGATTATCATCACCGCACTCGGGACACATCCATAAGTGCTCCGATCTCTTCCTCAAAATCTCTACAAGCGTATAACGTCTGTTCTGTGTTGTGTTGAACGTCTTGTCCACTTGGTGAAATGTTAATGTCTTGCAGCTCCAGGCTGCATCCCAATGTCCATGGGCCTACAGTTTTACCAAGTTAAGTCCTTCGCCGTATTCGTCTTCGCGGTAAGTGCTTGGCATGGTACTTCTTCTTCTTCTTCTTCTTCTTCTTCTTCTTCTTCTTCTTCTTCTTCTTCTTCTTCTTCTTCTTCTTCTTCTTCTTCTTCTTCTTCTTCTTCTTCTTCTTCTTTTTCTTCTTCTTTTTCTTCTTCAATTCTTCTGTCAGAAAAGTTACATCAGACGGCCGGTAGTCTTTATGAAAGTCATTGTGCAATCCAGATCTTCTCAGCCACCATTGTGGTTGGAACAGGCCTCACTGCATCTCTGTTGTCAGTATACATTTGACAGAGTTGGAGCTCAGCATTTCGGGTGCCAAGCTACAGGGACACGTCTCCGTGTTTCCTTCACTTGTGATTATCCCAGTCGTCCCCATGTGGGACGCAATTTTTCGTTATTTGAAGCCCCACCCTGGCTTTTGCTGGGGGCCTTAAATATAGCCGGGCCATAAATCTGACCAAAACGGCTGAACGGGGTTTCCTGGGACTTCTCCACAGGTGATCCTCATCCGCATTGTGGCACTGTGTGTCATCGGGTGTTTATCGCTTGTGTGATGTCCTGGCGGGGTACAATTTACTTACTTTCTTTCACTGAAAAAGTTTGAACACATGTTGACGAAGTCTGTTGTACCCTGTCCCTAATCTGAAGATAATACACTGTGCATTTTTAGAGAGGCGATGAAGCTAATCTTGAGGAGATAATTTTATATGTGTCTCCAGCCACCTTTCTTAGATATTGGATAGTATTAATGTCTTAGTCTCTTGGTGGGTAAAGTAACTATTTGGTTTTACCATCTCACTGCCGCTTCCAGCCAACCTGTCCGCTATTTCATTACCTTCCAAGCCACAGTGACGTGATAATGATAACTTCGTTCTGTCTGTTGCAGAACCAGAAATATCAACCGCAGTGTCTGCAAGGCAACTGGCACACTTGTTGCCTCGAACACCCGCATTTGTTGATCTGTTTAAATGTAGCTAGATGATCTCTTAATTGCCACAGGTTTAACCCCATACGGCTCGCCAGTCCAGATCGTCATCCTTAGCTTCAGTGACGACTGGCAGGCGTCCCTGAAACACTCATCTCAACAACTAAAGGACGTGGTCGAAACATGAACCCAAAGCTGAGAGGCGTTTAAAGAAATCGCTTGAACCTCTCGTCAAAGATACACCCCAATGGCTTTTTCATTCATGTTAGTCTATCCCTTGTTGTGATCTTCCAGCAATAATTAACAGTAAAATAAATTACCCTTTATGACTGCGCTAAAATTAATGAAGGCGTGCAATAGGACCCTTTTACTTTATGATGTATGGCGTTGGTAATTTGGTCTATCCACAGCCTTCTGTCTCATTAACTGATACGATATTCTCTTTGCATACACACTCACAGAATGTTGGCTACCACTTACCGTAGACATAATTTAAAGCTATCAGCTCACAGAGACATGTCAACATCAGCGCGTAGCTTGCCGAGTAGCTGTTCAGCAATGTCAACACCCAGATGCCGCCCTAATGAGATGTCAAATGTCATTGTTAAGTGTAGGCGGACCCGTGACGCCTTGTTTAAATATCAAATGCCATTGTTAAATGTTAACTCCCAGGCACCGCCCTAATTAGATATCAAATTCCTTTGTTAAATGTTGGCACCCAAATTAAGTTTCACATGTCATTGTTAAATGTTGGCTCCGAGACACCGCCCTAATTAGATACCAAATTGCTTTGTTAAATGTTTGCACCCTGATTAGATATCAAATGTCATTGTTAAATGTTGGCTCCGAGGCACCGCCCTAATTAGATACCAAATTGTGCTTGGTTAAATGAGGGTCCCCGGATATTAATTCCTAGTCCGCTACACACAGAGCTGAGTGGTACTGTATCTGAAGTAAGTTCCAGAATGTAAATATCATAATCATCATCAATGTCCACTTCTGCCTTCAAGCGTTGTGGGGAGGAACAGTTTGTGATCCACTGGTTGATGGGCAGCCATAGCTTTTGTCATTCAGTATCTATTTAGAATCTCTTTAATGTCATCATTCCCCATTCTTTTGATATTATGTCTAGACATACAGTAAATAAGAACGAAGAAGGCACACATCCCTATATTGATTGTAAAACATAGATACGCTTTTTTGTGTTCTCACTGCGCTTTAGGAAGTGCGGTTCATGACCACAATGTTATCTCTATCAACTGCTTTTTCTTGATCTACAAACACAATATTCAGTTCATCGTCATATTCAATGGTTTTTCTCGCAAACCTGTCTTAGTGTGAATAAATCATATCTGCAGCCTTTTTCATTCCTGAAACAAAATTATGATGTACATAGGTTTTGTTCCGCTAGAGGTCTAACTCTCTGTTTTAATAATTTGCATATATTGTTTCTATGTGGCTCAAGAGTGATATACCTCAGTACGAGGCACAGTCTCTTGTATTCATTCATTCAGTAGCATGTCCCTCGCGGAACCTCGCTGCCATAACAACCCTCCGGAAAACCTTCCTATCCTGAGCAAGATGTCCTGCGTCTGATACACCCATCTGGAGATCATCTGCCACATCCTGCACCCATCTTCTCCTTGGCCTTCCTCTTCCTCTCTTCCCAGGCATATACCCCTCCATTTTTGTTCTCTCTAGACTTCCATGACGTTTCAAGTGACCAAAATATTTCAATTTGTATAACCTTTCCTTTTCCAAACTGGTATTATCAATGCCTGCTGCCAGTCAAATAGAGCTTTCTTTTCTTCCCATGCAGTATTGGAAATTCTTTTAAGTATCTGATGCCATTTTGAGCATATGCTTGAATATTCTGTAGTTATTCCATCTAAACCATGTGCTTTGTGTTTTGGTCTTTTTCGTATCTAAATCTATATTTAAATATCTGTTAAGTTTATTCTCGTAGGATGGCAGAGTTGAGTTGAATTGGGTTAAGTCAAGAATGGACATCAAAGCACTCGGGGCATTCCCATGCATGCTCCGTCCTCATTTTCAGCAGCCAACGCGGAGTTCAATACTGATGGTACCGGTCACAATCTGGTTAAATGTCCGTCTTGCCCCTCCTCTGAGAGTAGCCAGCCGGCCAGACCCTCTGCCCACACCCAGGCGCCCCATTCTTCCCAGGCCATAATAACCTTTTTCTCTACTGATTCCGTTGCTCATCGTCCGATTCAATGGTTTTCTCGCAAACTTGTCTTAGTGTGAATAATATTGCAGAATATATAAATAATAATATATTACAGTAGTGCTGAAAAAATGACGCCTAAAAACAAGGTGACGGTACCGCTTAACGCCAGAATAAAGGCCTCATAAAAGGCTCGCACATAAACAATTTAAATTTTTAAGACGATATGTGGTGTAAGTTGCTAGCTTAACCACTCGAGATGGAGTAATAAAGTAACATTATCAGACAGACTGTCGGAACATCTTGCACCAGTTTCATTGAGCAAATATCAAATCACACAAAAAGTTGAATCAGTAAGCTTCACGTTATCATAAACACAAGTGAGAAGGTAACACTGCGGCTAGAGAACCTTCATATGCACATTATATCAACATACAATACCACACACACGAACAAGTATACCCATAATCACGTAACTGAAGTATCTCGAGAGAAATCATTTATCTGTCTGGCTAGTTGGAACTCTGACACGTGTGTGACCACCGGTAGTACTATAAAAACAGCACATTGTCCTGTTTTAAGGAATTCTTTGCAAAAGCTCGCTAACAGAACAATTAACGTTATATCTGTAGATATTATTTATTAGATTTTGTAGTTTACATACTTAAGTGACTTCATTGCAGCATTTCTTAATGAGCACAATGTTTCGTTTATTTCTTGAAAACATTACTATATTGTGTTCTTGCTTGCTCTGCGCGAATGGTTCTGTTTTATTACAATTGAGGAGCGAGTAATAAACCCTGTCACCCCGGTGACCCAGAAAAAGGGATGTTGGGTTAAACTATCACTTGTGACGTCCTGTTTTCAGCTCAAAATATTAGTGGTATGACACGTTGTCAGCTTAAGATAAAATGGTCACGCTATGGGGATACTGAATAACGACATTAAATATGAGCATTTATGACAAATAAACATTTGAAATCAGAAACAACGTAATCAAAAGTATAGGTTTTGTGAATCACGTACGTAAGTAACCATGGGAATTCCCAAGATAAAACCAATCACGTGACAGATAAATGTAAACATCACTCTTCGTCTGCGCAAAAAAGACGGAAACTCGTCAATTATGGCACTGATAACTGTTTCAAACATGGCGAGCTGTGGAAAGAGAACGAATTAGGAATTTAAATTATGCTCATGACAAATCCAGTTAAATGCCAGAGTTCAAGTTAAACTGGTAGCATTAGCACTGACTGCTTTACTGCGGTCACCACGTCCATTACTACTACCACTATCCGCACGACTACCATCATCACCACCAAGACCACTACCACGAACACAAATAACACGACCTCGACTACCATTACCCCGATCACAACCACCACCGCCACCATCACCACCACCACCACCACCAGCACTACTACTACTGCTGCTGCTGCTGTTACTGCTACGAATACTATTACTGCTTCTTCTTCTTCTTCTTTTTCTTCTTCTTCTTCTTCTTCTTCTTCTTCTTCTTTTTTTTCTTCTTCTTCTTCTTCTTCTTCTTCTTCTTCTTCTTCTTCTTCTTCTTCTTCTTCTTCTTCTTCTTCTTCTTCTTCTTCTTCTTCTTCTTCTTCTTCTTCTTCTTCTTCTTCTTCTTCTTCTTCTTCTTCTTCTTCTTCTTCTTCTTCTTCTTCTTCTTCTTCTTCTTCTTCTTCTTCTTCTTCTTTTCTTTCTTCTTTTCTTCTTCTTCTTCTTCTTCTTCTTCTTCTTCTTCTTCTTCTTCTTCTTCTTCTTCTTCTTCTTCTTCTTCTTCTTCTTCTTCTTTTTCTTCTTTTTCTTCTTCTCTCTAGCATTCAGAGCCCTTTAAATGCAATTTTGCGGCGGATATCCCCACTTAATTATCTGACTGGCTTGTGTTCTTTCCCCGCTGTTGACACCTAGTGTGTGTCGGTCTGCTAGTACATCATCTCTCCACGATCTTCTTGGATTGGTCTACACCCAGTACACGCTTTTTCCAGATAATATTGACCAGACCTTTCCATATTTCCAGACGATAGTGTTATATTGCGCTATGAGGAGGCATGACACTCCCAGTCCATATATATATAAATATATATATATATATATATACAGTTGATATGTATATACAGTTGGTGGGGGGCATGTAAATAACAGCCCATGGCGATGGCGAGTGTGACTATCAAGTTCCGCTCTCCCACTTTCGTTAAGAAAGGTTTTCCACAGTTTGATCACGGCATTGCAGGACCTTTACTGCGCTCGCATCCATGTAACGGGCTTTTTTTTTTCTTCCAGAAATTAACTTTTAACCTTCTTCTTCTTCCTGTTTACCATCTGTAAACTCCAGCGGAAATTTATAGGTGTTCGTTCACTTCTTGACCTTAGTCCAGTTCCAGAACTGGAGTGTTGCGTGTAAATCCGTTTTATATATTTTGACTCATGTGTATGCACACTGCTGGTTCCTCATCTCTCAGTCAGATGCACTCCAACTTCGAAGAAAGTCGACTCATACGACATGCTTTTGACTACACAGTGGGACTAGTCTTGTTTTCCCCACAATAGGGACCCGGACGGGGAAGCTGTTAATCAATCTGCAGTCTGTGTCTCCTTCAAGCGAACTCTCTTATTGATTTCTCCTTTCAAGACAACGGGACTCAAGCATCCAGATCCCACAAATCTACCTCAATGCCATAGTCATTCCTTTCACGCTTGCATACATCTTTATGTCCTCGACATCTACCCAACTGTAATTAACCACTGAGGATGTCTTTAGGGACTCTGCCATACCCCATCCCCCAAGAGAGTGTCCTACCCAACCCCCCAAGAGAGTGTCCTATCCCATCCCTCAAGAGAGTGTCCTACCCCATCCCCCAAGAGAGTGTCCTACCCCATCCCCCGAGAGAGTGTCCTACCCCATCCCCCAAGAGAGTGTCCTACCCCATCCCCCAAGAGAGTGTCCTACCCCATCCCCCAAGAGAGTGTCCTACCCCATCCCCCAAAGAGAGTGTCCTACCCCATCCCCCAAGAGAGTGTCCTACCCCATCCCCCAAGAGAGTGTCCTACCCCATCCCCCAAGAGAGTGTCCTACCCCATCCCCCAAGAGAGTGTCCTACCCCATCCCCCAAGAGAGTGTCCTACCCCATCCCCCAAGAGAGTGTCCTACCCCATCACCCAAGAGAGTGTCCTACCCCATTAACCAAGAGAGTGTCCTACCCCATCCCCCAAGAGAGTGTCCTACCCCATCAACCAAGAGAGTGTCCTACCCCATCCCTCAAGAGAGTGCTCTACCTCATCAACCAAGAGAGTGTCCTACCCCATCCCCCAATAGTGAATTACCCCATCCCCCAAGAGAGTGTCCTAGCCATTTGAGCGTTTCCAAGATTGAGCACTGGCAAAACTGTTGCGATACCTGCTCTTCTCAATGCTTCAGGTTTGTAATCGACTTCATTCCAAGTATTCTTGGCAGGCATTTAATATGGAAGCGATTTAGCCAGTTCTGCTTATCCGGATCAGTCGACCAAGTTGTATTGCTGTAAAGAACTGTGATGAGAACCCAAAACTTGATAACTAAGACTTTTCATTATAACTGTGAGTTTTGTTTTCTCCAGAATTCTTTTTTTCTTTCTTTCTTGATCTGCTTTGTTGCTGCTGTCTCACCTAAATTTTGATTTCTTCGTTTAGTAATACGAGGAATCAACAAAAAATTATGCCTCCTAATTTTAATTGCGTCCAAGAGGCAAGAAAGTGAATACAATTCAATGATGTAGTTTGGACTCCAAAAATGTATTTCTCAATGTCTCTTCTTCTTCTGACTTTCTAGCCCTCAATGGAGCATAGTCCCTCAACCAACTCACGCCAAGTTATTCTATACTTTGCTATTCGCCTGCAGCTCTTCCCAGGTCCTCCCCATCTTTCTAACCTCATTTTCTAGCTCCTTTCTCCATGTTTTTTGGCCTTCCTTTATTCCTATGCCCCTGTTAGTCCCAATGTCTTCTTCTTCGCATTCACTGGCTGTAAACTCCGGGGGAAAGTACTGGTTGTTTGTCCACTTCTTGACTGCAGTCCTGTTGCAGAACCTGAGTGATGCATGGCATGGAGGTGTGTCAGCACACGGAATAATACATGCTGCAGGAGATCGCATATTGTGGCGAGGCATAATCGCCTACGCCAGTCGCCAAGGCACCTAATGATGATGCACTATTCGTATTCGTATTCGTATTCGGCCGAATAGCTGGCCCCACTATTCGTATTCAGCCGAATAGTGAAAATCATTATTCGGTACAGCCCTAGTGTGTATATATATATATTTATAGGATGGATTACCTTTTGATCGCCTATCGTAGTCTGTTATTGTATAGGATAGGTATATGAAATAGTCAATATATATATATACCATATATAGACTGCAGGCCTATCACTAGAACCCTTCACCATATGGACTGCAGGACTACTTTTGTGATACATGCCTATCACTAGAACCCTTTACCATCATGTAGTTTCAGGCCTATCACCAGAACCCTTTACCAAATGTAGTCAACTGGCCTATCACTAGAACCCTTTACCATCAATGTAGACTGCATGCCTATCACTAGAACCCTTTACCATCAATGTAGACTGCAGGCCTATCACTAGAACCCTTTATCATCAATGTAGACCTCAGGCCTATCACTAGAACCCTTTACCATCAATGTAGACTGCAGGCCTATCACTAGAACCCTTTACCATCAATGTAGACTTCAGGCCTATTACTAAAACCCTTTACCATCAATGTAGACTGCAGGCATATCACTAAAACCCTTTACCATCAATGTAGACTGCAGGCCTATCACTAAAATCCTTTATCATCAATGTAGACCTCAGGCCTATCACTAGAACCCTTTACCATCAATGTAGACTTCAGGCCTATCACTAGAACCCTTTAACACCAATGTAGACTTCAGGCCTATCACTAGAACCCTTTAACATCAATGTAGACTTCAGGCCTATCACTAGAACCCTTTACCATCAATGTAGACTGCAGGCCTATCACTAGAACCCTTCACAATCATCTGTTTCTTCTATTTTTCTATTTTCTTATCGGGCATACTGCGCTGTTTTTGCTGACCAATGGGCACTATGTGGGTTATGTGAACAGCGTCATACCAGCCGCCTTTATTTCACATGACTTTATCTAGTATCCATTTCACACTGGGTCGAACTGAGCGACAAGATCAGTTTTAAAGTAAAACAAATTCGACTTGAGGTGGATTTGAACCCTACAGCTTCGGGCCGTCAGGCGAGCGCCCAGTCCAAGCCTAATTAACCAGTGGCCAGGGTCAAATGTGGCTTGCAGAAGCCAACCAAGCGTATCATTGTTGAATTGTATTAACGATCTTTCTATGCTGGGGCTACGATTTTTCTATGCTGCGGCTACGATTTTCTATGCTGCGGCTACGATCTTTCTATGCTGGGGGCTACGATCTTTCTATGCTGGGGCTACGATCTTTCTATGCTGGGGGCTACGATCTTTCTATGCTGGGGCTACGATCTTTCTATGCTGCGGCTACGATCTTTCTATGCTGCGGCTACGATCTTTCTATGCAGGGGCTACGATCTTTCTATGCTGGGGCTACGATCTTTCTATGCTGGGGCTACGATCTTTCTATGCTGGGGCTACGATCTTTCTATGCTGGGGCTACGATCTTTCTATGCTGGGGCTACGATCTTTCTATGCTGGGGCTACGATCTTTCTATGCTGGGGTTACGATCTTTCTATGCTGGGGCTACGATCTTTCTATGCTGGGGCTACGATCTTTCTATGCTGAGGCTACGATCTTTCTATACGCTTTCTATGCTGGGGCTACGATCTTTCTATGCTGGGGCTACGATCTTTCTATGCTGGGGCTACGATCTTTCTATGCTGGGGCTACGATCTTTCTATGCTGGGGTTCAGGCCTCTGGTGCGTGACGAGCTCCATTTTAATCCCAGATTACACTTCCTGGAATAGCCTTAGTCAAGCCACTCGGCTGCCGCGGCTCCCTTACAAAAAACTCTAAACATACTAACTCATCATAAACACACTGTACACATGACTATCATACAAGCATGGACGAACAACTACGTTCTTTACCTGACTATCCAAGCCCAGGAATATCAACATAATAAAGAAGAGACAGGCCCACAGTGGAGCTGCAGGCATACGAGAAATACCTTCAGGATACACAACGAAAACTAGGCCAGCACCTGTAACAATGGAGTGTTAAATATAATTTTGATTTTGCTGAAGAATTTGGTCCGTCTCACATTCAGTTTTTGTTGTCCATATTCTACTTTGTGCAGCTAGGCGTCACATGTTAACATATGCTAGGGCATGCTCAGTTACCCTGTACGCTGAGGTGTTGTTGAGGTACAAGGTATTAGTGACTTCATCCATCCATACATCATCTTGGTCGTCCTCTACTTCTTGGTGTTTCTACTTCCATGCTGACCGCTCTCGCAGCGTTTAATATTCTACCCTTCTTATTGTATGCGTATTTAATACTGCCCTGTAAAAATGATTAATTCTTGAAAAAATAGAAGTAAAGAAACCCTTCCAGACCTTTTAGCACTTCAGCTGAGTTGAGTGAGTGGTGCGACACAGTGAGCTGAGGATTTCATATGTTTAGTCTGTTGTGCCCGCGGCGTGTTGTTGCTCGCACTAACAAATGGCTAAGTGGTAGACTTATTTATGTATAGACTAATGTGCAATCGATGGATGTCAAAATACACCGATCGCTTTAACTTTCCATGATGTTACTTGGTACCAGTTTTAGACTGGTCGACCTGGGAGCCAATTTCTGTTCTGACAAAATCTGGTACTAATTATGCGCTCGATATAATAGTTTAAAAAAGGTTAGTTGCGTATCCTTTACAGGACGTTGCAGAACCAACACTAGCATTTTTTTGGCTGTTGTGGTTTTTTGTAAAGGCAAATTTACATCCAGTAGTTTGCCACTGCTTTACGGTAGGCTTCTTGATACCACTGTCGAAACCAACGTAAGGCGCAAGGCCCGCCGCTGGGATCGAACCCGGCAGCCCGGCATTACGAAGCGTGTTCGCAACGCCTAAGCCACAGACGCCGACCAATAATAGTTTAAGCTGGCATCAGTACTGTCTATAGGATGGTAGTTACTTCTCTTACCTGCCTAGAGAGTAACCACAGCTTAATCACGACCGACTCCAGCTGACGGGCCATGCTGCTGACGTCACCGGGTCGAGCTAACGATGCGTTAAGGCAGTGGTTCTCAAACAAGAAATAAACTATTGTCGACAGTGGTGAGGGAAGACAGCTTAAATTTTAACTTTTAAGTATCTACATGCCCTTTTTAATAATTTCACAATTTTTAGCCGACTTTTCTTGATTATTGCGGCGGCATCTCTGGTATACGCTCACGGCACCCCAGGGTGCCTCGGCCTCCAGCTTGAGAACCGCTACATTAACGCATCGTTAGCCCGACCGGATGACGTCAGCAGCATTCCCGTCAGCTGTCGCCGGTCGTGGCTTAATCCACAGGGACATTCATTGCGACAAGTATGGCTGCGAAGAGATGTCTCATACCGGCTGCAGGGGTGACCAGAAAAGATCACATCAGGAATGAGGTCATAAGATAAAGAGTCGGCACCGAACTATACTGAATTACATACAAAGACAGTAACTCAAATAGTTTGCCCCCTTGGCATGGGATATGATGGTGATGACGTTTCAAGGGAAAGGAAGCATTGTGCTATTTTATCGTTGAAAGAAGGCAGTGAGAAACACACAAAAATGTGTGGGAATTTATGATAAAGATAAAGATGTTTATTAAAAAAAAAAAAAAACATGAGGGCTGAAGGAGTAGGTTCAGCTTGAGACCACGGGGAACTCACCACTGCTCGTGACATGCTGCACCTCTTGGTTGGTGACGTGAGCCATGTAGCCAAGCATGGAGAAGATGACAAACCCGGCAAAGATGGATGTGGAACAGTTGATGACAGTCACCAGAACAGCATCTCTGGCGGACACGACAATAACAATCAAGTAAAACCATAAAACAATGGCATCACAAATGAAAATAAACATTACAACTTATAGTATGATTTGTTCTAAACGTATTGGTGTTACCTTTCCTTTTGGGCTAAACAAGGCTGGTAGAGCTAGGGATCATATTTTATTGTCAAAACATAGACTCTACAATACTATCCAGACTTTGTACTATGGAGAAAAAGAACTCTATCTTTGGCTTTAGTTTGTATGCTTTAGGTTGTGACTCCGATCCCTTACTATGAGTGGAGTAGCAAAGTCAGGTGGTACCCGGTGCGGAAAATATCCTGTCGACCCTAATGGGGCTTCAAGGTTAGATAGTACTAAGTACGTAAAATTTCCTGTGAGCCACAGTGGCATTACAAGGTCATATGGTACCCGGTACGGACAATTTCCTATCACCCCGGGCGGAATTGTAAGAACGGGTGGTACCCGGTGATTAATAGGCAATGTCATCCCCATTTGCATTGCAAGATCAGGTGATGCCCGGTGCGAAAAATTACATGCTCCCCCCCCCCCCCCCCCACACACACACACACACACACACACCACTTTACACAAACACACAAACATATTCACACACGTGTTTTTACGTTTAAAACATATTTTATGGCCATTCTGCACCCAATCCTCGTAATGACACACACCAGCATGTCCCTTCCTATAGTTTCCCGCACAATGCAAGATTATTGTCTAGAACGACACAAACCTAGCATTAGATAAGACAACCGTACACAACTCATCACTGAACTCAACAGTCTGACTGACTGACTGACTTTCTACCCAACCAGGACATCACACAAGCGATAAACACCCGAGGACACAATGTGCCACCATGTGGGTGAGGATCACCGTGGAGAGGTCCCAGAAACCGCGTTCAGCCTGTAGGCCATATTTATGGCCAGGCTATATTGCGGCCACTGGCAAGAGCCAGAGTAGGGCTTCAAATAACGAAAAATTTCATCCTAAAAAGGACTGACTGACTGACTGACTTTCTACCCCACCAGGACATCAGACAAGCGATAAACACCCGATGACACAAAGT